TTGCACTGCTGCCCCTTCGCAGAGACTTTGCTATATAGCATGATGGTTTAGAACAACAACCAATGGYTTCCCACAAAGACACATAATTAAATGGTAACAGGTAACCTGAAGTTCCATATGAGGGATTCTTCTCCAGAGCCTTTCATAGCAAAACTGATTATGTTACTCTTCCAATAAAAACTTTCAGGGATAGCTGGGGTTGTAGCTCAGTGGTAGGGCGCTTGTCTCAGACCTGTGAGGAACCGGGCTCAATTCTCAGCACCACATAAAAATAAATAAATAAGATAAAATATTGTATTTATCTACAACTACAAAATATTAAAAAAAAAAAAAACTTTCAGAGACTCCTAACGAACATTCTTATTGTTGTAGCAAAACAAATTATTTTACTTTAGGAAAATAGATAACTGCAAATCTGTAATAAGCTTTTCACTTGGCAGTATGTATGTCATTCTAGTTTTTGTTGTTGTTGTTGTTGTGGTTTAGACCTTTATTTTATTTATTTATTTTAATGTGGTTCCCGGGATCAAACCCAGTGTCTCACGTATGCTAGGCAAGAGCTGAACCACTGAGAAACAACCCCGGCCCACCATTCTAGTTTTTATTAAATTTCTATGTAGGCCTTTTTCTAGAAGTAAACTATTTCTTCTTTTCTTTTTTTGCATACTAGGGTATGGAACCCAGGGGCTCTTTATCATTGAGTTACATCCCTAGCCCTTTTTGAGACAGGATCTCACAAAGTTGTCCCTGCTGGCCTTGAACTTGCATTTCTCCTGCTTCACCTCCTGAGTGGCTGGGATTATGGGTGTGCACCAACTCTTTCTGTAAACTTCTTAAGGGTAGAGACACATGAGGGACATTTTAAAGTTTCTCATAACACTTAGATGCAGCACATAGTCTAAGTGGTGGCTGGTCACTGGAAAATGATTATGTTAATTCTGTCACTTTGATTCCTAGCTTAGAATTGAAAATTGCATSTGTATAGAATGTTATAATATACAAAATTTCTAAAAACTGGAAAATTTCAAATATATACAAAAGTAAAGAGTATAATAAACTCCTTTAAATTCACGACTCAACTTCAATATTTATCAATACCTTCCTTTCTTCTTACCAGAACATTTTAAAGTAAAATTGGACAATCTATCATGCAAATTCATACATACATACTTCAGTGTATCTCTCTCATGGATGAGGACTTTTAAAAAATATTTGTAATACTATCATACCCAATATTAATAATTTCTTAATATCTTCTAATACCTAGGTCATGTTTGGCTAGATCTATTACACACTCAAAAAAATGCATTTTTACGATTGATTTGTTCAAATAAAAATTAAAATTCTTTTGTTGGGCATGTCTTCCCTTCTTGACTCCCTGTCTTGAGAGAGGGTATTTTTATGTTGTCTAGGTTGGCCTCAAACTCACAATTCTCTCACCTTAGTTCTCCCAAGTTGTTGGGATTACAGGCATGCACCATCAACACAGGGTTTTAAATCTTTTTTTAAAAAAATGTTATTGATTCTTTTTAGTTATACATGACAATAGAATTTATTTTGACATAATAATAAATGCATGGAATATAATTTGTTCTAATTCTGTCCCCAGTACTTTCCCTCCTTTCTCCTCCTGCTTCCTTCCCTGCTCCATTCCCTCTACTCTACTGATTGTTCTGCTATCTAATTGTAGCTTTTTTTAAAAAAAAAATCTATGAAAATTYCCTTCTTCTGGCTTTTTAAGATTTTTGTTTATTTTTTTAGTGGTACTGGGAATCAAACCCAGGGCCTTGCACTTGCTAAGCAGCTGCTCCACCACTGGCCCTCTCTGTCAGTCTTTTAGATACCAGTTTTTGTTAAAGAAGTTAGGTCCTAYAGAATTTTCTGTATTTTGGAATTGGTTGAGTGTACTCCCTGGAAGCCTTTTAACATTTTCTTCTATCCACTTTATTTCTTACAACTGGTAGTTTAGKTAGAGAGGATTGATGAGATTCAAGTTCAAAAAATATTTCTTTTTGGTAAGAATACTTCATAGTATAGCATATTGAGAGACACATAATGTTTGTTTGATTGTCACACTTTCAATGACATTGAGAATGATCAGTGGGTTCAGGTCATATCAGCATTAAGTCACCCATTATAAATTCCCTCTTCAACCTTTCACTTAATTGTTTTAGCAAACATTGATGATCATTACTTAGATCCATTGCTTCAGTTAGGGTTGAAACAATTATTCTTTTTTRGTTTGTTATTTTACTTAGGAAATCTTGCCTACTAACCCATGACCTGTTTTGCAATTCTGTACTTAAACATACAGATAAAATTTAAATTCCTTCATGTAGTCTTCCCTATTTGCTAAAGGGCAGGACTTCTATCCACCTGGCATCTCTCATATTCTGCTCTGCCATAAAATTCCATCTGCCAGTCTGCAGGCCCAGGAGGGCCCACATATGCCCTTGGGATCTATGTATCACTATAATTTTCGGCACAGTGCTCTGAATATAGCAAGTGTACAAAAAATATGCGAAAATGTTTTGGTGAGGTGAGTATTCAGATTGAAAATCCCCAACGCATACAAACACAAGAGCTAGATTCCAAAATGAAAGACACACACACATACACACAAATATACATGTAATACCACAAATTTATTAAATACACAGAGAAGAACAAACCCAAACTTTGACAATATCCACAGAGTTTTCCACAGTCTTTCAAAAGTTAACAGAAATAAGGGATAATTGAGGGGACATAAATCCATGATTCACGAAACAATGTATGTAGCACACTCAGTTTACGAATTACACTGAGGAGTTAAGACTATAAAATGGCAACATCCCATAGATATTTAAAAATTTGTATTTGTATTTATTTACAATATGGATATAGGTCCTCAAGGACTCATAGAGCTGTAGGTAATGAACTAGATTATGTAGCTGGGCCTTTTGTCTGTTACATAAGCTCATCCAATGACAATAAAGTCTTACAAAGTGGACAAAACCTCAACAGAAACTGTTTGACCACACAGAGCCCTTTAAACAAAACATGGCTCACACAAATCCTACATCCAGGGACGCTTATCTTAATCTGCTATTCCTATGCAGAGAATACTTCTGCCAATTGCAATCTGTTTTCATGTGGCATTCTAACTCCCAATTTCTATCCACAGAATTGAGAATGTGGTTTCGTGGCATATTGCTGTTAGTTCATAGGCACATCAAACATTCTAGACTTCAGGAAGGTTAGGAAAGRTGATGCTATGTGGGTCATAAAAAAAATAAATCAAATTCCCTGTTTTATCTTCAATTTTTTTTTTCCTTCCTTTTGGTCTTTACCTTACTTGGGTCCCCAGGAACTGTTATGTATGTATAGCAGYACCTACACACCTTCAGATTTTTAGCATTTTTAGTTTGGATTCAAAGAACCAAAACAGAAAACACTAAGGAGTCGTGAGGCCTTTACGGTGGTAAAAACTGGAATAGCTGTTTCTTTTAGTTCTGCTCTCCTGTTCTTTCTTTATTTTTAGTAGGAAATTCCCTCCATTTACCAACCCTCACCTTCTCATACTGTAACCAAGTGAGATCATAAAGGTCAGTTAGTGAGAAATAACCTTATGAATCTGGTAAGTGTGAAGACAAAAGGTCATAGTATAGTCATGGGCCTGGGGGAGACAAAGAACAACCGATATTACAATCAGTGAAAACTCAGGCTTTGTTGTACAATAAGTATCACCGTGTGTTATACAATAACTGGGACCATAACTGCTAATTGTTCAAAGTCCTTTGCACATAAACAATCCTTCAAAATTGAGCATAAATATAACAATAACAACAAAAAAGAACAAAGGAAAGGTTCACAGATGTCCAAATATTGCAGTTCTTGGACAAAACTATCGATTGGTAGTTTTGGTGATCCAATAAGATAATGTGAAAACAATAGCATACCACGAAATAGCCACTTTAGAGAAAAAAGCAAAAACCTATGACAAATGAATTTCAGCACTTCATTATATGGTGTGTAGGTCTGAAAAAGAGAAATCCAGGCTAACTCACAAAATACTTTATTCATGTAGTATCTCTCTAACAATAAATATGTAAATCTATAACTATAATGTAATTTGTCTCTCAAAATTTGTCTCTTTATTTATATAACCAAATCTTCCCCCAATACTCTCTTGTGCCACCTCCTGCCTCCAGTTGCTTCATAAACCACTCTAAACCCTATCTGGATACTGTGTATGATGAGTGGTCTAAAATTATTTATGCTTTAAAGGTACCTGCAGTATGCTAATCATATGAACATTTACGTCTTTAAACAATGTATACTTAGCCAAGATAATTCTTTAAACCATGACAATATCACAAAATGACATTATAATATAACGGACAACAGATTTTTCCCTCCTGAACTACATAGTATTTTCTTCATTGATACATTCACCTTTTTTCCAGAGATATACAGAGTTAATTGCAAATTTGTAACAGCTAAGTGTTCATTAACCCATCCAAGCAAATCACCTTGCTTCCAAAATAATATTAACTCTACCTAGTGTCAAGTGCCTCAGGGTACTAACTGGAAGGAATTCTCATCAGCAAAAGTGGTGGAAGCTGCTCAAGAAGATACATTAAAATTTATCACGAGTGATTTTTAAAAGTGACTGATCCCAAATTCATGTTTATCAGTGTTAGTKCTTTAGAATAAGAATTGACCTCTAAAATAAATACAGTGTCTTCTGAACACAATCAACAAGTGACAGAGCCCGAGTCTACAGTGGAGGTTTCCAGCCCCAGCAGAAGGAATCTATTGTACTCCATGGGTCTCTGTCCATGCTCAAAATATCTAATATTTTTCATCTATACTGGACGTCTTTGAAGAGTACTATATTGCTTCACATCCTTCTTTCACTGTAACAAAGCATATTAAACAAAACTTTTCAGTTCAGTTTAAAAGCAGCTGGAAAACCTATGGCTGCTCTAGGCTCTCATTATCAAAAGACTTATCTGGGAACTTTGGATTCTCAAATATCAGAAACTCCAATAACTTATCAAAAAATACAAGCTCTTGGTTTTGAAAAATATACAAAATCATGGCATAGGCAAATATATCTTGATTGTCAAGGAAGACAAGATATCAGTCTCAATCATGCTGTGCTTGTATTTTAGTGACGTTTGTTTTTGYAGTTTCCATTATTTACACTTTTAGGCAATCTCTGACCCTTGGTGTAAGCACGGTACCAAAAGTGGAGAAAGAGCAACAGAAAGATGAACCCATAACTCATAATAATGTAGAGAAAGACTGGAAACTGGTACTTGCAATCCTCCATGAAAAATATCTGGCCTATGTGGATGGTGACAATAACAAACTGCACCTAAAAAAAAAAAWYMAAAGAATAAAAAAAAACATTTAGATATGAAGAGTTAACAATTCTTTTCCTACTAATGTTTATACACTCCTCACCCAAATCTGGGCCAGGGACGTTCACCTTTAAATCTAGCCTCCCTGGGAGTAGAAATGGAGGGCATAATATCAAAATACAGATGGGAGTTTGGCACCACTGTGCAGACCTGCTGAACGGTGCACCTCCAGGGGGTCCCACTTAAATGTCCACTGGAGTTGTACTCCTTAGAGAACCAGCAGGGCAGGTTTTCTTTGGCAGTCTGAGTCCTTTACTCTGACAAAATGTACATAGGACCACTACCTCATGGCCTAATTTTCCATATTGGTTTCAAATTTCCAATATTCTCTCCTGCTGTTAGACCAAGTATTTCAATTTTTGGAAAATAAAAATATTCAAATTAGAGTTCCTCTAATTTTGTAGGAACCAATACATCCCTCAGTCCTCATATCTGCCATGTGTCTCACATTGTCACACATAAAAATAGTTCCAGATGCCAATTAGGTGTAGAATTAGCAAGGACTTAGAGGGTACTCGTGTCCCCCTAGTGATACTCAAAGGCTTTCTGGACTGGATCATTCTATGCATTTCTAACAGGCTCCTTTTCTATGCCAATGTCAGACTTTGGGATATATATATTTGTCCCTGATTAAAAAGGAACATTGTTCTAGGGAAATTTAAGAAAAATAATATTCTATAGAAATAAATAACAATTACAATTCATCTAGTTACAACCATGGTTAAGATTTTCAGTTTCTTTTATAACCATTTTATTGTTATCATCATCCACTTTCTTTGAATTATTTTAATGAACTTTTCTTACATTCCTGCCCAGTAGCTACTATTCGTTTCATTTAATAGAAGAAGGAAAACTTAAGATCAAGCAAGCTCTACACTCCTATGCCTGTGTGTGTAGATGACTAACATTTGAAATAATCATCAACCAATGTCTACCCTTCACTTCTACATAAAAATTTTTCTACTTTACTAAAATTTTTTTTCAAAAAATTAAAGAGTGTGTTAAGTGAAAACAAAGACAAATACAAAATTGTTTATGTAGTATAATATAAATCATACAAAATGTACACGTATGTGCATAAAGGAGAAAGCTGAATAAGAACAAAATATAATTTTCAGTATTATAATCTCTGGGAGGTGGAATTATGGTTGTTTTATTTCTTTTGGCTAATTAGGTGGTGTAATTTCTCTGCAATGAGCATATATCATTTAAAATAAAATACATTTTTTAAAAAACAACAGCAAATAATTTTCATAACTTCATAGAATTTCAAAGTATATGAAACTTATGCCTCTATTTCCTTATGTCTGATCATTTAGGTTGTTGCTAATTTCAGATAAGATAAACAACTGCATCTAAGGAGAGTACCTTAGAGGAATCTACTAAATTTTACTCAGCAAGTTGTAGGATTTTAACAAAAATTCTATCCTTAATAGTCTACGTATAATTACATTCATAGTTTCCCCTKGGCATTGCTGGCAGAATATGACATCCAATTTATTATAGACTACAGATTTGGAAATATGAAGTTAGCAGAATTTTCCTTTTAATAGAAGACAGTAACACTTAAAGCAAATAATTATCTTGTACCCAAAGTTATAATTTTAAAATTTATAAGCCTTATATATTTTAGGATTAATGCTTAAGTATCATTTGGTGTGAACTGAGTACCTCTGCTCTTTGAAACACTGTCTACGTGAGGTCAGTACTCCAAAATGTACATCACACATGTATGTTGATTTACTGCTGTATCCTTTAATCGTCACAATACATTTCCTTATTGGAGGAAAGATATACTTATGAATGTTAGGAGTAGATAGGCATGCAGAAAGGCTTGTCATTCCCTCAAATTAGAGTGAGGATATGGAATTTCTAACTTCTAATTTAGTATTAAGCCTATTGAGGGTCACATAACTTTGAGGTTGGTTATTTGCTTATTTTGTAGTGCTGGGGATGAAACCCAAGCTTTACATATGCTAGGCCAGTACTCTACCACTGATCTATAGCCCAGTCCATATTTTTTTTTAATAAATGCTGAGATAGGGTATAAGATACTGATGCTGATTTAAYTGTTTAAACCTTTTGGTTACCAAATATACTTTCTTTTCAATGAACTTCCTGACAAAGTTCAAATAACATCAAAAGGATAGTGTGTGTGGGGGGGGGCTGGGGTTGTGGCTCAGAGGTAGAGCACTCGCCGAGCATGTATGAGGCATGTGGTTTGATCCTCAGCACCACATAAAAAAAATAAAATAAAGATTTTTTAAAAAAGGATAGTGTCATATAGGGGCCAGAAAGTATACCTGTGCCATTTCATAAATTTTGTTCTATATTTAGCAAGTATTCTAATTCACAGCAAAAACAAATGACTGCAGTTTATTTCATATCTGGTTTTAAAGAAAGTTAGTTACTCACAAGCTGTAAAGATGTCAAATATTTTTTCCACCACAAATACTTCTGGTAGGCTGGTCCCATTGCACAAAGTCCATAGTAGAAATACATGACTACATGCACAGCTGTATTTACAAAGGCATGGAATGTTCCCAAACCACCTGGGAAAAAAAAGTTATTATAACCTGGGGGTGTTGTTCCTTAAAATCAGACACATKTTTGTCTGACCTGAGATTTTAGTATAACTATTTCTTGAATTTTAGAAGGAAGAAAGAAAAGAMCATATAAAATATCAATTATGTTAAACAGTTATCAAACTAGAGAGAGCTTGGTACTATATTTAATAAAATACAAATGCAAATCAGGAAATAAATCAGCACATTTATATATTATATTCTAATTTAAGAAGGTTTTTTGATTTTGGCTTACTTTAACAAACTGAGTTATCTCCTAAATATGATACTTTGTTTAATAATAATCAAACTCTTCTTTTAGTGAAGGTTAACACATATAAAGTACACAAAGTACATCAATGTTAAGTGTTCAACTTCAGGTTTTTCATAAATACACCCACATGACCAACACAAAGATCAAGATATAGAATATTCACAATACCACATAGAGTCCTATGTGCCCTTCCCAAGGTAACCTCTTATTTCTATAAATCACTCTTAATTTTGCCTGTCATTAAGTTTTATATAAATGGAGTTACATGGGAGGTACTCTTTCATGTCCGCCTTCTTTCAGTCAGCATAATGTTTTTAAGATTCATGCACATGTTGGTGTGTGTACACTAACACTTGTCTTTTTACTGTTGGCAGTATTACACCATATGAATGCATCAATGTTTATTCAGTCTCCTGCTGAAAGATACTTGGGTCATTTCCAATTTGGGATATTAATAATAAGATTGTGAAGCATATTTTTATACAGACATTGTGTGGAATCAAATCTACTTTTCCCACTCTCATTAATTTACATTAAATATTTTTAGAGTCACAAAAATACTGGCAGTAAAACCATTGGCTTCCATTAGTAGGCTCTGCTAAATTTGCTTTAATCAATTATTGTTTTTTTCCAAAATAAACATCTATTAACTGTTCAACCATCCTTGCTTACTAGCTCGATTTGATTATGCCTTCTTATCTTGGTTTTCCTCTTTTAATTTCACCGTCTTTAATTTAGAGGAAGAGCCAAGAACACTTGGGAATGTAGGAAAAGATCTTTTAATTGTCTTTAGCTATAATAGTAGTCACTGGAAGAGGTTKTAGGGAGTTTAGCTGATGGTAGGGGAAAAAATCCCAAAACGTTTCCTGAGGGTCTCTTTCTGAAGAGGCACAATGTAAGAAAAATTGGCCGTCTTTATGTACAGTCTGACTGTGCTTATTAATGTTCACCTGGAATTTAAAATTTTCTCCAAAATATTTTTTGTCTTATATACCAGAATTCTTTGATTTAAGAAATAAAACAAACCTCACATATTTGAACTAATTATGGCAGAGGAAGAACCGAAATCATAAACACTATGAATTATAGAAAGTTTAAAGGAAAAACACAAATTTAACACTTTTRACATAATCATCTAAGAAAAATGTCATAAAATTATTGCATATCAGAAACAAACTATTATTTGATAATTTTTCATACCAGAGGCACTTCTAGATACTTCTGAATAGTACCTCTGCTAGAGTACTCCCTTCAAGTGACATGTTCTACATAATTACTTTTGAGTAGTTAAATCTTCCCCTAAAGCATATTTATGCTATTTTGCTCTGCTTTGTAAACATTTTATTCCTCAGTAGAGTAAATCATATTTTAGCTAATCCTTCAATTTCCACAAATTTTAGAAAAAACAATTAATGAAGCTTATTAACAACTCTCAGCTTGGATTTAAATTTGGATTAGTCTTATTTCCCCCAAAGAAACTTGAATAAATAAATAAATTATTGTGGTGTGAAAACACCTTTTCTAGGGTAATTTAAAAATAGAGCAGTTTTCTGCTTCTGATAGCTTAGGAGTCCAGTTGCTTCTCAGAGGATAAGCCAAATACCTCTCAAGTCCACTTATGTGTCATGATAATATGCCCACAGGAAGTCTATGTCAGCCTTCATAAAGAACTATATCAGAGCCTTTTTGCACTCACACTCCTCTCCCATTATATGATAGAGGAGCAGCCATTTTCCTTTTGGATACTTTGATCATTTAAATGTCCTAAGATGAGAATCCTGTGACAGGGATTGAACAAAACACTGGTGTAGCTAAGAAGGTTTAGTAAAGCCTACTGATCAACAGAAGCTATACAATAAAATCCACTCACTTTTTTTCTCCTGTAATGAATATTTTCTAAGTTATTTCAATAAGTTTCTTCATAGAACAATCACATCTTAATTAGCAATGCTTTTTACTTTGCTATTTGAAGTACTTTCTGAGTTTGCTTGCTTTATGAGAAGGGGTCTAAAAAACAACCACCTCAGAATGAATTAAAATCAGTGCCATCACATTATACTCCTTTGGTTTGGAAAGAAATAAAGGAATCACCTGGGTAATTATCACAGTTTTCCATATTGCTCAAAAGGGGTACATACATAATTAATACAAAAAAAACTGCCACAGAAATATTTTCATTATATCCCAGAGAAGGGCACATGATGCAAACAGGAAATTAAACACTAGATAGAGATCAGCTGTGCTCAAGTTTTTGACAAACACCGATTAAACCAGACAGTTTCATTCTAGGAATGGAGGCCAGTGCCTCTCTGCACCTCTGGAAATATCTCCTGTTGCTGTGCTTGCTACTGAATAGACATCAGGTAAGCTGTTCAAGTGTTTACTAGAATTTTACACCTAAGAATGAGTGGGAATGACAACTCATGAAACATACAARAGACCAGAAAACATTATCTTCCATATTTTGTAAAAAAAGGGGGACTAAGGTTTGAACAAGGGATCCATTATAAAGTGAATGATATCCATACACATGTTAGCATTTAAAAATTGGGGTATATTATATATTCAAGTTTTCATTATTGAAAGCATTACTTGTTTTTGAAATGGAAATTTCATCTGTGAGCTAAAAAATTAAAGTGAGAAAATAACACCATTATTTAAATAAAATTTATGTTTTATATATATAAAATTTTATATATCAGATATACAATACAGAAAAATGAGAAAATACAGAGAAGGAAAAAGAGAAGAAAAACCAGTTTTTATTTCAATATCTCCAAATCAATATTCTGGAGCATTGCTTTGCAATGTTTTTTCTATTTCTATTTATTTGTCAGAGTTGTAATATAGTGTAGCTGTCTTTTGGTACCCAAGGAGATTGGTTCCAGGACTCCCTGGGGATACCAAGATGTCTGGATGTTCAAAGTCCCTTAGATAACATGGGATGGTATTTACATATATTCTATGCACATCCTCCCATATCCTTTAAATCATCTCTGGAGTACTTATAATACCAAAAAATGTAAATGATATGAAAATGGTTAAGTTTTATTGTTTAGGGAATAATAACAAGATTTATCATAGATGTAATTTTTTTGCATATTTTAGGTTCATAGTTGGTGAAATACATGGATAAAGAATCCATAGATATGGAAAGTCAACTRTATTCTAGTCTCATGGAAGAAAAGGACATAAATTATAAGGATATAGAAACGTCTTTATTAGCATTCTTTAATATAAAATAATCATTTTCTGATAAYTAGGAGTTAAGCTGCCTAATGGAGAAGATGAACTAAATACTTCTCAATATCATTTTGTTTCATGGTATTTATACACATAAAAAATAAACACTCTACTACTAGGCAATGTTCAGGTATTTTGCAATTTTTCRTCAACACAAATAAGGTGTTAATGTAGATCACTTAAGAAAAACCTAGAGACACAATGTATATGTAAGAGAAAAAATAACACAGATAAGTAAAATAACAAAGATTAAATACTATAGCTACATTTGATTTGTGAAATGGACACAGCTAAAGACATCTTGTTAGAAAGTGAATTAAATATTTATATTAACATGSATCATAAGAAAAGGAGTTATATTTACTTTAAAATTTTCTTAACATATAAATGCCAATTTGGGACAAAGAAGAAAATTTTATGTACTGGGAAATCCAATGCCCACAGGCCCTGTAGGGAAAATCCTTTACCCACATTTCTCAGCCCTASTGGCTTTTCTAGGTTGATGCCTAACTGAAATGAGCTATTCATAGAAATATTAAAGCATTGTTTCATATGAGCTATAGGCTTATTTGAAGAATTCTTAAATTTAGGAAATTAGACTAAATAAATCTTACCCTGCTAAGGTTAAGAATATGTCCGTGAGGGATACTGCTTATTTAAGACTTTATGATGGGATAAAATTACTGCCTATTTTCTCCATTTCTAGATATTCAAAAACATAAAACCAAAATGAAACCAACAGAAGAGGCTGTTTGTCAAGTTTTTGATTTAAACTATTTTTGACTTTAAAAACACCAGAATGCTTTGGGAAGTTAAGCTAACTAAAATTTGACCCATTTTTAAAGAGTTGTTAGGTGCTGGGGTATGCCATTTTTTGAATATGTGTCTTTCTCCAAAGGTTCATGTGTTGGTAGCTTGGACCCAACATAATGTGTGCTGAAAGGTGGTGGGACCTTTGAGAGGTGGGGCCTACTGGGAGATGACTGGGTTATGACCATYCTCAGGAAACTGTTATTGCTGGTCTTTCAAGAGTGGATTATTTCCCTCCAGATCAGGTTTATTACAAAAGAGTGAATCAGGACATTCCCTAGTCTCTTGCTTCTTCTCTTGTCATATCACCTCCCTCTAGCATGCATTCCTGCCATGATGCTATCTGCCATAATATGACACAGAGGGCCCTCACCAGAGCCAAACAAATGAGACTAAACAACTCTGGACTTTCAGTCTCCAAAACTGTGAGCTAAAGAAATACCTTTTTGTTATTTATCAACCAGCTCCTGATACTTTGTTACAGCAACACAAAATTGACCAAGATGGCATATATGTAAGTTATTAGGAATTTGAAGGCAGATAAGACATGGGAACTTGAGATAAATATTCTGACTTCCTGGGAACATATAAAAAATAGTTACCTAACTAGAGTCCTAGGCTTTTTACCATTTTACATATTCACTGTTTATTTATTTAAAGACATGTAATAGAACTCTTTGGGAAAAGAATAAAATCCAAACAAAACTAAAAACATTTATACAAGACTGTGCCTCTAAATCATGTGTACCTAAAGAGATTTTGGGAAAAAGTCTAACTAACAGTCCTATGTTTACATATCAGGTAATAATTTGAAAGTCAGAAGTTAACTCTTTGATGTTTTTTTGTTTCTTATAAAGTATATTTAAGGATAAATTTTTTATTTGTAGCATACAGAAATGTTATCATTCATATCACATGATCCCAGCTCTCCCTTGGCTACCTGCAGCAAATTTGACTCCAAACCACCAGGTCCATGGCATGATTGTATGATGGAAGACATGAAGGAAAGTCACTTGGCTATTTTTCTTACGCAGAACAAAAAAGATCTGAAATAATTTAAAGATAATCAAGTTCATAAAAATCATGCAATAATTTATTGAATATTACCAAAAAATTGGCAAAGAGCAAACTATTTCACATCATGATTTGCTTTGAAATAACTGCCTTATGGAAAGGTTATAGAATTAGCTGTTTCTCTGAGTGGCAGCTCAAAAGCTCATATGACTAGCTGGGGATGATATCTCATCATGGGAGAACCAATAAGAAAGTGAAAAGAAATTTTATGCAGATATAAAAAATCAAAGATATAAAGTGAAGAATTTGGCTAAAAAATGATTGAAAGAAAGGCTATTGGTTAAAAAAAATTCCAATGGCCTTTGAAGTTTATGGGAAACTAAAAGTCCTTAATTCTCAGGACTGAAATTATTTTTATTCAACATTGCTRTCTGATACATCCTATCAATCTGGAATAAGGGATGAGGCAAACCAAGAGAGAGGTACAACATATCAAAAGTTAGCAAGTTAATATAGAAGGAAGATAAAGAAGAGTTAATTTTAAAAATACAAGGGCAAAGAAAGCAAAGTTGTATAAGAAAAATGAGAAGGGCAACAGACGTACCATTCAGATCGTGCGAACTAGGGGGTTTGTAGAATCTTCACAAAATGAAAAGCAGAATTTTGGGGGGGAAATGTTCAAAAAATATTCACAATACCTGAACTTAAACTAAGATATATTTTAAAATTCAGGACTAAACAGAATAGTGCAAAGAAAAGTATTACTGTAATGGGAATAGTTGAGAAAGGTAGTTCATAGACGAATATAGAAGCAGCAACAGTTTCCTTGCAGAAGCTGGAACTGAAAACATGCAAAGCAGAATCAATGAAGCAAAAATGCATTTGTTTATGCACATGGAAGAATGAAGCCTGGTACAGCAGGAAAAGCCATAAACTAGCACTCTGGGTCCTGGTCCAAGTCAGTAGTAGCATTCCTCTGATAAGTCACTGAATTTTTAGCTTTAATTTTTTTCTGAGTGAGGACTCTAGAATACCCTAGGTGTGTCTTATAATATCCAAGCATATTTTTAAAATAGCCATGTTTGGTCTCTATTCCAGACCAATTGACATCACATCCCTGAAGGTAGAGTCCACGTTTTGTTGTTTTTGTTCCTAATGCAATTAATTCTACGGCACTATTAAGACTAAGAACCATTAGACTATGACAAGGAGGTTCTTGGATGTGGCCCTTGGATGAACAGCATTAACATCATCTGAGATCTTGTYAGAAATGTAAATTCTTGAGCACCATCTAAAACCCATTAAATCAGAAGCAAGGGGTCCAGGCATTTGTGGTTTAAAAAACCTTCCAGGTAATTCTAACACATTAAAGTTTAAGAGCCACTAGATTCTAATTTCACTAAAGTCTCTTCCAATTCTATCTAACATAATAAGATTAGTCAACTGAGAAGTCGAAACATGTTAAGATTTCCTATAAGCTCAGGGACAGTACACACTTGTCAACCTCAAAATCAGAAAGGATTCCAAGTAACTAAGATATATTTGCCAGGGAGATATAGTCAATATTCAGCTTCTGGAAACAAAGGCTCATGGCTTTCTTCTCTCATTATTGACACTAATCTTTGTCACTCTAATCTTTGATATTTGCTTCTCCCTGGACCCAGTCATCCAAATACAGAGTTGATCCTCACCAGGATCTCATAGGAAGAGCTAGGGCCAAAAGCACACAGTTCAAAAAGACAGTTCGAGAAGTCCTGGTGTTCCCCCAATTCCTTCTACCCCAGTGGTAACCTCACATCCAAGTGTAACCTTAGGAAATCTGAAGCACTTATCCTCTTAAAGGAGTGTGGAGGAACATTGCTTTGGTAGAAAAAACTAAAGGGCTCTGTTCTTTGCTTCATGAACTTTCTTCATAAAACTACACTACCATCAACATAAAGATGTATAGTTTTTGGAGAATAAGTGAGAATTAAATGCTTAACTTAATCAGGTGTTAAATACCCTTTGGGAGTTTGTGAAATATTGGAAAATAAGCTTATCCTGCTGATTCTAGTAAGCTACTGATAATAAAAGATAAAAGAGATAAGAGTAGGTCTACCTGAGGAGAAATAGCCCAAGTTATTAGACAACTGAACTAGAGCACTTTATTGCTTTCATTGAAACATCAAATATTTACCAAATGTGGTGACCACATACTCACAGTGTCTAACAGCTCAATAAATTTGGAGAAGTAATAAAGCCAGCAGGTGTGTGCCATCTGCAAAAATACACACAGTTATGAACTCATTTTATTATATTTTTAGCACGGACAAAAGTTTATTAATTTTTTTTATAAAATAGACGCAACAAATTTATCACCTTAACCATTTTGGGCATGCAGTTCAGTGGAGTTATAGTCCCACTATTGTGCAACTATCATAACCATCCATCCATAGAATTCTTTATTTTCTAAGATTGAAACTCTGGACTCATTCAAAAATAACTTCCCATTTCCTCCCTTCCCTCCAGTCCAGCCATYATTTTATCTTCTGTGACGAGGTGACTACTCTAGGTACCTCATATAATCATGCAATATTTACCCTTTTGTGACTGGATAATTTCGGTTAGCATAATATCCTCAAGACTCAGTCATGTTTTAGCATGAGTAAGAATTTCTTTTCTTTAAAAGGCAGAATAATATCCCTCCCTGTCCCCTGTCTACCACATTTTGTTTCTCCACTCATCCCTCCATAGACACTTGGTTGCTTCCACCTTTTGGCTCTAATGAATAATGCTGCTGTAATAGAGAGTATTCAAATATCTCTTTGAGTTCCCCCAATTCCTTTAGGTATATATACAGAAGTGGAATTTATAGACCTTACGATAATTATTTTTGCATTTTTCTGAGGAACCTGATATAAATTTATTTTTAAATTGGAGAAATTCATAGAAAAAGCACTTATTTTCATTTTACATTAAACAACACACTGATTATTTCCTGTAATTTTTAGTTTTCTTCCCCCCAACATATACAATCTGATAATGGAATCATTTAGTCATTCTGAGTTCACAGTCATTATTGCAAATAGAGTCCAAAAGGTTTTAATTTGGAATTATAAGTTTTCAATTTGGAATTATAAGTTTTTCCAAAGAGAAACTTACCCTTAAAAAAACTTACCCTTAAAGCTGTGGGTGACCGTGAATAGTCAACAATTTCACATTGAAATGAATAACCTGTACCCCAGCCAGACATCACAAACTGCAAGAAAGCACATGCATATCAAAGAAGGAAGTGTTTGCTCAACAGCTACAACAAAGGTAGTTTTGATTGTGTCTCCATTAGTTTATCAGCTGAGTAAGCAGTCAGTGCAGCAGAGAAGGCGGTTTCAGCAATGACAACCTACAAACACGCTTGACAGAGAAGCTTGACATTGAGAATTTTCAAAATCTTAGATTCATATATTATCTTTATAAACTGTATTCTGACAAAATTTTCCATTTCTTGGGATGGTTATTCTAATATAGTGAAAAAAATCCCTGGGAGGGTTCTGCTTAAACAGCAGCTACTGAGAGGTAATTTATCTTATGCTCATCTATATTTGTAAGTCTATGCATCTGTATACTTTTAAAGGGAATACCTGGCTCTGAATCAGTCTTTTCAACTCTCCCCTATTAGTCAATAATTAAATAAGCAAATTAAAGTTAATTGATGTACTGATAAAGTGACTGAAGCAACTGAGTTTTTCCTGTCCCTGGGTGAAGGGTGTGATGTGAAGTGGTGGACCTTGGCTCTCTTATTCTTTCCTCATTTCAAATCAAGATGGGTCATGAAGGAAGATCAGTATAGTAGAGGAAAGGGACCTGGTTAGGGACAGGGGAGGGCAAGGGGAAATACTGGCAAATGATATTGGCCAAATTATATTGCATACATATACAAATATGCAACAACAAATTCCACCATTATGTACAACTATAATGTTGTACACAATTATGTACAACAATAAAAAATATGGAAAAATAAATTTAAAAAATCAAGATGGACCAGACCCAAGACTCACATACTAGTTGTGATTTGGGTTCATAAGATGAGAGAGGAGAATGCTCTTGTTAACAATAGAAGTACAATCTGGAAGGCCTTAATTCCAACACGCCCACAAAGTGACTTTCCACTGGTGGTGAGAAGAAAAAGCCTATTGTTGCTAAGTCTGAATTGTAAATCAAAGATTATATTGACATTCTTTCAGGCTGATGGTGGGAAGATCTTCTTTTAAAAACAGTATCTGAAAATGAAAAGCCAAGGACTTTAATTTTAAATTAATGCATATGTTAAATGGTTTGCTTAATTTGGGATAGGACAATATGATTCTCTTCTCTAACTTCTTCTCACAAATGCCAACATCTTCCTTGCAGTGTCCTCCTCCTCAGTTTTATGGTTATATCATGTTCTGCCACTGAAACACATTTTTACATTTCTATTTTTGTCACTGATGAAGCTAAAATTACAACTTCCCACTAAATTAAATTCAAAAGCAAACACCTATTAGTCTTTATCAAAATGACATTTTACTGGTGAAAAAAAAAAAGGAACAAAAGAGAACAACTTTTAATGATGGTATTTAAAAATACAGCTTCCTGGGCTGGGGTTGTGGCTCAGTGGCAGAGTGCTTGCCTCACACCTGTGAGGCACTGGGTTTGATCCTTAGCACCACATAAAAATAAATAAACAAAATAAAGATATTTTAAAAAATAATAATAAAAAAATAAAAATACAGCTTCCCTTTCTGATACAAGCTCCTAGTTTGATTTATAGGACAATATAATACATTGTTTACCTGACAAATTATGAAATACTGAAATTAAGGCTCACAAAAGTACAAGATACACATTTCATGGATCAGAAAAAAATGTCTCACAAAAGCAGGTCAACAGATCTTTTCAAAGGAACAAGGGAATGTGACAAACGGCTAATTCTGTTTTACAAAATACTGCTCTAGTGAATGTTCTCATGTCCTCTTATACTCAGACTCATTTTGACGGATGTAAGTAATACTCTAAGCCCAGAGCTGTTTTCTTAAACTGAGGTGACTAATTCTCCACCTTATCCTAACACAAACAAGWACTGTGTTGAATAGAAGAAGCGGTATGACTTGGCCTATAGTGGGGTCTGACCTGGTCTGTCTTTATTAGGGTCTGACAGATGCCAAGTATCTAGCACATTTGAACAATCACTCAAAGGCTCTGAGTTCCTTTAKCCTGATGAGTTTCTCTTTCCTTTTGTTCATATCTGGCCAAATATCCCTAATGGAGGTGTTTACACCAAATGAAACCATGGTGCACACAATAGCCATGTGTTCAAATGTGCCATCATCAGATGGCATGTGGTTTGGCTGCTGAAAGTCTGTTTAAACCGAGAGTGGAACATAATGTTTTCCTGATGTTAGGCTCATTCCAACAACCCATGAAGTTTTTGCTATAYATGTCTATGTTTGAGGCTAGCAATAAGAAGAAATAATTTATATTTGGCAGGTAATAAGCTCTGAAACTTGGTTTATTCAAGTATTATTCAAGTAACTCAAGTATTTAGGGTGAATGCAGATAGAAACTCTTAAATTTAGATGTTTTCAAACCTTCTTTTATGTTATAATTGATAAAATGGGAACCCAAACTGCCTGATTATAACTGGCTTCCTTTCCAGTCTGAGAAATACATTTGGGGGACATCACAATCAATGACACAATCAGACAAAGAACCTAAGAATACCAGAGCATTCTGGGATCTGAAAGACAATTTGATTCCATTCTGGTTTTATAAAATGAAAGGACTGAGGCTTAGCAAGATTTAGTAACTTCCTCAAAATCATGTTGAATCAGAGTACAAAGAAACCAAGAGTTTCCACMATGATGGTGACAACTTATTTTAGAACAGGATGAACTCTGATATCAGACAGACCTGCATTCAAATATTAGTAAAACCAGGACTAAATAGTCCTTGGTCTCCTAGTTTCCAAATTTATTCTTAATCACTACTGTAACATGCTACTGCTATGTCCTATCTCTGAGAACATGCTAACAGCATGTATTTTCTGTTTCCCATCCCTACTACTCTTTCCCAGTCTGATGTTCATACTCTAGAAGGGACAGTAGAGTGAGTTAATTTAGAAAAAAAAGTAAAGGAAATAGAAAGTAGCAGAGTGAGTCCAGACTTAGGGAAGGCCCATGAAAAACAAAGCTGGAGCATGAAAAGTGACCTGATCAGGCGGATTTGTAGCAAGAAGAGGGTAGAAAGGATGCTCATGGTGAGATTTTGTTGTACAGAGAGGCCACTGAAGTCCTGGGGGATTCACATGAATCCCAATTATGACTAAGCACAAGCTATGCTGGAGAGGAAATAAAAAAGAGGGCAAGGAAGCACTGGAGTAGGAGAAGAAGCAAAGAATCCCAGAGAAGCAGATCTGTGAGGGTGGCTGAGATACTTTTTAAGAGCAGAAGGAAAAGAGAACATCCATGAATATGCTTTTGGTCCCRGAAGATTCCCATCTCCCTTACTAGACTTCCTACTGCTTTGTATGGTTCTGTATTCTCTTTCCCCTCAAAGTTCAACCAAACCCAAATATTCCACTGTTGTACAGCTCATCAGAGCACACAGAAACCAAGAGTTTTCACCATGATGGTGACAACTCATTTCAGAACAGGATGAACTCTGATATCAGATGGACCTGCATTCAAATATTAGTTTTCCACTCACCAGCTATGTGACTGCTTTGAGTAAGTTACATAATTTCTCTAGGCATAAGTTTCTCCAAAGCTAACATTTATGGACTTGTTCAATCATCTACTAAGGCTAACTGCGTGTAATCCCTGGATTAGGAATTAATTCTTCTCACTACCTGAGAAGTGGACTACCCTGAGATCCTCTAAAGAGTTTGTTATTTGATGCAGACCTAACCATTTTTTATCAAATACCTGCTATAATGAGTGCAGTTTCTGAATTTCTTAATTATTAAGGGTTGCCCTATTTTTAAAAAATGACATAAACAGAAAGACCCAGGCAAAATTCTTCCATTAGGAATACTGGAAAAAAAAACAAACAAACAGGGAATAACGAAGACACTTGCCTCATAACACATATACAAAGAAAAGAGTACTATGCAAAAATTGTACGTTATCATCACTTTCTTGAGTTCAAAGGGTTTTCGATTCTCCATGAGCTTTGGTCCCAGAGAAGTGACAAAATAGACATAGAGTCCCAGGATGATGGTTTGTGGCAGAGGCGAGGACATGAGGAGCCAATCTTCAACTCTTGGATCTAAGAGAAAAATAATATGTAAGTGCACACTTGCTTAGCTAAGAGATACGGACAGCAAACAACACTTCCTGAGGTAAGCACCTAGATTGCAATGCTGACAGTGTAGCTTTGGGCAGTGGTCACCAGTAACTTTAGGAAAGGTAGTGGGAAATCATCAGAGATGGTGGAACACCCCTAGCCTAGAAACAGTGAGGATGTTACCACCCTTGGATCTCAAGTAGTAAGCAGACCTCAGAAGGACTCATGTGGAGCAACTCTTCTGGGGAAGAACTGTGTTATAGAATGAAAGTCTGTGCCCTCCCAAAGTCCATATGTTGAAACCTTAACCCCCAATGGGAGGCTGATGAGCTTTTAGGAGGATGGAATCCTCATGAATGAGTTAGTGCCATTATAAAAGGGACCAGGGATTTTTCTTGCCCTCATTGTGCCATGTAAGGATATAGTGCAAGAAGACAGCAACCTGGAAGGAAGTTCTCACCAGAACCCTACCATGCTGACAACCTGATCTTGGACTTCTGGCTTTCAGAGCTGTGAGAAATAAATTTTTGTTGGTGGTGACAGACAACAAAGTAGCCTGAACAGATTGACAAGCTATGACCATCAGTTGGGCAGGATCTGGCCTGCCCAAGACAATTCTGCAAGTAAATGGCCAAAGGAAAAGATACCTGAAGCCCACCCTCCCTCTCTCTGGTCTCCTGAGGTTCTCCATTGACTGAACCCAATCAGAAACCAGTGCACAAGGGTGTAAGCCCAAGATATAGTCCTACTAGTCATCCTCCAAGGGCCTAGCACAGGATTGAAGTAGATCTGGAGGAAAGGTCACCCCATAATGGTCCATCATCCATCTATAACCACTGTTAATATTCAAAAGTTGTTAATCCAGACATTCTTTTATACATAAAAATGTTTGTGTTTTCTGGCTTCTTAACTTTCTTCCTTCCCTAAGAAAACTGGCATGTTTCCATATATTCTGAATCATAGAATCATAGAGTTGAAAGGGACCTTAGCATCATCTAAGTACCTAAAGTGTGAGCTCTGCATGTCCAAAATTTGGGCTAACCAACATGATACTTTGTGTGTGTGTGTGTGTGTGTGTGTGTGTGTGTGTGTGAGATGGCCTTGCAATCATGTAAAGAGAAATTCACCAGTTTCAGGCTGGCAAAGTTGGATTGATTAAAAACTTCAACTCAAGATGAAATGTGATTAGCTCTATAATTTGAAGTGTGATTCAAGTGGAATTTCACTGAATGGCCTCTTGAAGCCAGAGTATATGAATGAAAATAAGTATAGATAAGTTTCTAGTTATATCTGACTCAAAACTGACAAGACTTGGAATTTGAGTACTTTGATGAGCCAGAAAAGAAAAGTGGGGAAATGCAGGCCTTGCTTATTTAAATTGCGAATGATGAGGCCAATTACTGACAGACTTTGAGTTACCCCTGAAAGTTTGACTTCCCACCCCAGATTTCTTCAGTAGAGCTCTGTGATTGATGACTTACTGGGACTCACTTTTAGTGCTGGAAAGCTAACTTTTGAGAGTTGGCTGTACATGTAGCTAGTAAGATGATTTATCTTCATTCAAGTGGGCCTCCCTCAAAAATACTGACAGATGTCCCTGTGTCTAAATAAATAAAGCCAAAGAGTCAACATTTAGCTCTGAAATAGACCCTATGATACTTAGGAAATTAACTGATGATTTAAAGAAGCCCCCAAAACAGAGGAGGCAGAGACTAGTCAACAAATGTTGATAGAAAATCTAGGATAGGAAAATTAGTTGATAGGAAAAATAAAGAGCAAATGGAGTTTGCTCTTTACTTCATATCCTAAACAAACATGCCCTTAACTATGTAATGGATGTAAGATATCTAAGGACTCTCCATAAAAGTGGGGAGACTACTGAAATGCTGAGTCAAACAGGCTGCTTGCTGCAGGAGTTTAGTGCCTGTGTTCACTGTGAATGGACAAGGTGGAACAGTGGTATGTAGTATTCTCTAAACTTAACTGGCCATGAGACCCTGTTTTTTAATAAAATACCATTTAACATTGTATTGAACTAATGCTCTGTGCAACACAGTTTGGGAAGTAGAATTTATACATTTATTTGTTGTTTGTTTGTTGAGCCAGTAAAGATTAGGTAGTAATAAGTGAAGATAAATAGGAGCCTACTTTGAGAAGAAAATGTAAAATTTTTCAATTGGTTAAACACAGGGAATGAAACATAGATAGAAGCTAATAAAATATTCAAATTTTTAGAGTTTGGATAAAACTCTAGAACATCATTACACTGAGAACAGAGAATAAGAAGCCAGAATGGTCAGGTCAGAACACTTTATATTAAAGGTGCCTGTAAAACATTTGTATGGAGATTTCCATAAGTAACTGGATATATAAATCTGGAACTAAGAATGAGATCTGAGTCAGAGATAAAGGCTTGGGGGTTACTGCCACATAAATGATGAACAATAAAACATTGAGACAGGCTAAAGTCAGAATTCTAAGATCTTGACATTACCAGGAGGAGAGGTAGAAAAAGACGACTTAGAAGAAGACTGAGAAGCAATGGCTAGAGAGGTAGAAGGAACACCACAAAAGTGAGATCTCCTAAAGCTAATGGAGGAGTGAATTTTTGGAAAGTATTAAATGAGGCAGAGAAAGAAAAAATGTGGACTGAAAAGTGCCACTAGGTCATTGATGCTCTTAGAAAGAATGATTTTAGCAAAGCATCATGCACAAAATAGAAATTCAACACAAGTTTGCTGACACACACTCTCAAAATTATGAAGTTCCAAAATTTTAAAGTTTTTTCCTATGTTATGGTTTGTCATAGTTTTAAATCTAGGAGGAAAAAGTACAATCAGCTATTCGTGTATATGTCACTGAAATTTTCATTGATTCTATTAGTTTTCCTTCCTTATAAAAATAGAAGTTTCCTAGTACTTCTGGTTGCCATRTGCAATTAAGATGGCCATAATAAACTCTGGCTATGGACTTATATGTTACTAGAGAAGTCTCAGTAAATAAAAGCTATWACACAACTGTGGCCAGTGGAGAGAATTAAAACTGGTCAACCTTTGATGGCTTTCTTCTGTCAGTGGGTAACACAAACCTTAAATATGTGAACCTCATAAATCATAATATTCTGTCTAGCTTTTATTCCAAATAAAATAAAGACTAATTAAAGCAGTACCAAAACAAGACCTCTGGAAAGATGTTAAAATCACCACCTTGAATGATGAAGAGTACGAATGATTTTTTTCATTTTTTTCCTTTTCTTTATAAACAATTCCAAATGTTTCTCTTAACATGTTTCAATGCATCCCATGTATGGTTAAAAACTAGGTTGCTTTTTAAGTGTCAGCAAAAGAACTCCTTAATTAGAGATGTATTTCATTTTATTCTTTCACTGACTCAGCAAAGGGGGGAATCAAATGACATCATCTTTCTGTTCTTCCTCTGACAATAGTAAAAAAGAAAATACGCCAGGAAAAGCTTGCTGGGCTGACTCAGGAAGCAGAATTCCTGTAAATTTAACATTTTCAGCACACACCTTGTCTTAAAATCTTGTATATGACTTTCAAGTTCTAAGGATAAAAAATTATCATGGAAAAATCTGGTTAATTTAATTGGATGCTGTTTTCAAATAATAAAATAAAATACCCAGCATTAAAAACCCTATTTTAGCAGAACTCTGGTGCCATTGGGTCTGTGTTATGACCCTGGCTCTCCCCATGGCCTGCTATGTGACCTTGGGCAATGAACCTGACTTCTATATACTAACTTTTTAAAAAAATCTATGCATTGGCATAAAGTAACACATATTTCATGAAGAATTGAGTAAATTTTATGCAAAGAAGTCAAGCACTCAGTAAACTTGCTATTGTTATTACAGCATAGCTCAATTCTGTCAGCACAGCAGAATCACTTCTGGAGCACTTTAGTGTCAGATGACTATATAATATATAAATTCTGGTCCAACTGATTCAGAGTCCTAGAACATGAGGACCAGGTGTCTGAATTTTTAAAAATCTGCCATTAAAAAATAATGGGCAAAGGACTTGAATAGACATTTTTCAAAAAGGATAAACAAAATGGCCAACAGATATATGAAAATAATGCTCAACATCACATCAGGGAACTGTAAATCAAAATAATATCACCTCACACCGATGGGAATGGTTACTATCAGAGAGGCTAAAGACAGCAATTTCTCACTAGGGTGTCAAGAACAGGGAACCTTTGTACGCTCAGGATGAGGAAGTAAAATAGTACAATCCTTATGGAAAAATATACAGAGGTTCATCAAAAAAATTAAAAATAGATATACCATATGGCCTGGCAATCCAATTTCTGGGTATATGTCCAAAGAAAATTAAATTAGTATGTACGTTGAAGATCTATCTGTATTCTTAGGTTTGCTTCAGCATTATTTGCAATAGTCAAGATACAGAATAAACTCAGATGTCCATCAACAGATGAACAGATAGAGAAAATGTAATATGTATGTACACACCCACACAAAAATATTATTTAATCTTAAAAAGAAAGAAAAGCCTGTAATTTGCAACCACATGAGTAGTCTAGGAAGACATTTTTATGCTTGGTGAAAGAAGTCAGACACAGAAAGATAGATACTATATGATCTCACTTCTATGTGAAATCTAAAACCCTAGAACTCATAGAAACGGAGTGGAAAGGGCTGAGGTTGTGGCTCAGCAGTAGAGCGCTTGCCTTGCACATGTGAGACCCTGGGTTCGATCCTCAACACCACATAAAAATAAATAAACAAAATAAAGATATTGTGTCCATGTATAACTAAAAAAATATTAAAAAAAGAAAGAAATGGAGTGAAAAGGTAGTTACTAGAGGCTGGAGGGAAAATGGAAAGGGGGAAATGCTGGTCAAAGGGTTCAAACTTTCAAACAGGAAGAATTTTTTTTTTTTAATTTACTGCATAGCACCGTAACTATAGTTAATATTAGTGCATTACGTATTTTAAGAAGGTTAACAGTAATTTTTTTCTGGTACCAGGAATTTAATTCAGGGGCGCTTAACCACTGAACCACATTCCCATCCCTTTTTTATTTTTTATTTTGAGACAGGATCTCACTAAGTTGCTTAGGGCCTCACTAAGTTGCTGAGGCTGGCTTTGAACTTGCAATTCTCCTGCCTCAGCCTCCCTTGTTGCTAAGATTACAGATGTGCACCACCATGCCCAGCCAGAATAATTTTCAAATGTTCTCACCACCAAAAAAGATCAGAATTTGAAGTGCAATCACTTCAAATTGTGCTAATTACCTTAGTCCAATCATTCCACAATGTATCCACCTACCACGACATCACTTTGTGCCCCATTACAATTATAATTTGTCAATATATAGTAATTTCTTAAGTTTGTTGAGATGATCATGATGACTGTCAGAGTTAAGAACCAGGGATCTGGTGGGTGACAAAGTCCCCTAAACTCAGTGCTGCAGCATTCCTCACTAGATGCTGGGAAGTGTTTATGTACATTCCCTGCCTCAATTGAATCTGTGATAGTCATCTTCCGTACAATTGCTAAATTCACTTTCTACAAGTAAAGCTCTGTTAGATTATTCTCTTGCTTAAATTAGCTCTCCCTCATAGAGAAAATAAAATTCAAAGATGTACATAACTCTGACTCTAGTTCAATTTTCCTACCTTGTCTTTTAGTAACAATAGTTACACACCTTTCCAAAAAGGGAGTCTACTTCCCAGAGAGGTTAGTAGAACTCTCCCCATGAGATAGGTACCTACAGGTCAGGCATGGATGACTTGATAGGGGGGTTTTGGAAGCCACTGTGCAATAACATTTAAAGTTACTTCTGACTCAATCTATGATCCCACAAATTGCATCAGGTTCAGGGGTGAGTGCTCTCTGGTTTCCCCAGAGACAAAGGCTAACGAGGGAGGGAAGGTTTCATGTATCTCTATTTGGCATTGGAGTTGGTTTAAGTATCATGAATGGAGCCAAAGCAGAGGATGGGAAGACAGTCCATCTGACCACCTATACCCCAGAGACTACCAAAGTTCTGATTTGCCACTAGCTTAATAATCCTTTTCTAAGAGTTCCAGAGAAAGAGGGAGGAAGTGAGAGAGGGAGAGAGAGAGGAGAGAGGAGAGGGGAGGGAAGGAGAAAGCACAATGCTGAATTTATAGAATATTAATGAGCATTTCCATCAACTAATAAGACAGTGTTCTCTTCTTAAGTAGCATGTACTAGATCAAAGAGTACCCCCTTAAAGATTCCAAGCACCAATAAAATAAAGAAGCTGGAAGGAAAAGCAAACATGTACCTCAAGTACTTTCTAAAGCACCAAAGGTTCAGAATGGCAGCAATCTTACTTGTACTAAATCTTTTGCAAAAAAAAAAAAAAAAGCCAACTAAGTCTGAAAAGCCATTCCTACCATCCAAATACAAAGAAAACTGCTTTTTAATCATCAAAACCTTTCTCACTTCTATATCTAGGGTACCTCCCAAACAATAATCTAATAATCATTGTAAAATCCTCTTGTAGCTTAAATATTAATTAAGCCACCTTAAATTTTTGTGCTGTGGAATTTTCCACATGAAATAACCAGGCATGACTACCACTTCTCCAGCGATCAGAAAACCAATGAATAGCTGTAAGTTTTCCCAAGGCTACTCAGRATTAGGGCCAATGCCAAGAATATACTTGAAATTCTTGGCCCTTGATCATGGAGTCAGACCTTCCTGGGGTAAGCACAGTAAAACTGGGCTAAAAGGACCAGAAATGATTCCTAATGCCTCTCAGAGATCAATATCACACTAAGAAGAAGAAAAAAAACTCTCCTGTTATTCCTGACAGGGTTTTCATAAAGTTGTACATCTCAACATAAAACTTTTTAACTATACGTTAAGACATGATAGAAAAAAATAAAAATAATTTTAAAAGTGATATGCTATATTAAAAATATTTACAGATGAAATCCTCTGTCATCTGTAACAACTGTCACCACTATTTGTGTTGGGGTACCTCCCAAACAACAAAGTAATTTCTGCATATTATCAAGTAGCTGGTAGGTATTATTCTCACCTTTGTTTAACTCATAAAGCAACTGAAACCCATAGATGATAATAATTTGTTCAAGATTACCTAGTTGGTCCACAGTAGCAAAGAATCTTGATTTAGGTCTTCCACATTCCTCATTCCACATCCCATGCCCTCTGTCCTCTTCCCAAGACTTCATATTAACATAACTTCAGACAGTGGCTTTCTCTTTGGTCTCCTGGCCTCTCTCTCCTCTCATCTTCCCTGTTCTATTTGCAATGCTGTTTCTAGGATCCTCCCTACTCTCCATGTTTAAGCACCTCCAGCTCCTTATCAGTCCACTGTCTTATCTAAAAGGCTCAACTTTTCAATATTACTAATAAAAAACAAAAAGTGGATCCACAGATAAAGATGGAAGTAGAATTCTGAAGTAGCTCATACTAAAACATTTTGTACTTCTAGTACCATATAAATATTCACCATCATTTAAGTCCAAATTTGGCTCTTGAGTAAGGATATTGATTATCTGAATCTCTTGAGTTCTTGCATTTGGAATAATCTATTTAGCTTCTGAGTTAAAATACTGATTATCTGAATCTCTTGGGTTCCTGCGTTTGAAACAGTGAAAGCAAGATTTGGATCATAAGAAATCTGCTCTTCCAAATATACCAATTCAAAAATTGTACCCAAATCCACTTGGTTTTCCAAGTATGAATAGTGAGAGTTCAGTTATCAATGTATATCTCTACTTCAAAAACAACTAAAATTTTAGCATTTAAGTTAAATATTGAGTTTATGAGAAATTATAAACCTTCAGAGAAAGCTGACCTGTCAAGAAATCTATAAGTTTTCTGTGTCACTGTGTAAGTTGAAAAACTCAGGAAAAAAAGGAAACAGTCATTCTCTATCCCCTACTAGAGAAGAACTTACTTATGGGATACTAAAAAGATCCTTGGCATTCTTTGGGGGCAAAGTTGTTGAGATCTACTTTAGTGAAAGAAAATTGGTCTTTAGCAGTCTACTGAGAAAGATGTCAACCATGAAACAGTATGTCTTTGCTAAAATCATTGCAAACTGAGATATAATTTAACTGTGTTAGATGCTAAGAGGTGGCACTTTTTCCCTCCTGAATTGGTGGACATGTGATTTCTGGATAAGAAAAACCAAGTGGTTCTTAAAGTGATGCTGGTGGTAAATATGTGCAACTGTCACTCAGAAATAGATGTTATATACCAGAATACTAATCAAAAAAGAAAACACAGGTTCTAGTCTTTTCTTTTTCTTTTTTTTTTAAATACTGTTTAGTTTTCAATGGATTTTAATTTATTTATATGTGGTGCTGAGAATCGAACCCAGTGCCTCACACATGCTAGGCAAGCACTCTGCCACTGAGCCACAACTCCAGCCCTAGTCTTTTCTACCATCAACTAAACGTGACCTTATACAGGTCATATCACTGGGTCTCAATTTCTACTCTAAAATGAGACATTCGCTTCAATTATATATAAGATTCATGTAATCACTAATATGCTCTGATTACTTGCCTATTTAAAAATTTTCCTTTGTTCTAATTTAAAGCACTGGTTAATAGTTATAAAAAACAACATGTACTGGTGTAGTTTAAAAAAACACAGACATAGGCTGGGGTTGTAGCTCAGTGGTTGAGCGTGGTTTGCCATGCATGTGTGAGGCACTAGGTTCGATCCTCAGCACCACATAAAAATAAATAAATAAAACAAAGATATTGAGTCCATCTACAACTAAAAAAAATTTAAAAACACAGACATAGACAAGTAAATAAAAATCAGGCTATGTGTATAGCACAATGGTATATAGAGTACAGGCTGAGTATGTGCAAGGTCCTGGGGTTTAATTCCCAGCACCCAAAAATAAAAGAAAGTAGCCCATAATTCCACCCCAGAAATAACTATTTACCTTACTAAAAAGATACATGTGGTACCTTATACCATGCTTTCAGTTAACATGTCTTAAACTTCTTGGTATGACGTTAAATGTTCTTCTAAAACATCAATTTTTTTTTAGTTGTTGATGGGCTTTTATTTTTTTTTAATTTATTTATATGCACTAAAATTGAACCCAGTGCCTCATACATGTTAGGCAAGTGCTATGCCACTGAGCCACAAACCCAACCCTTGAATTTTTTTTTTTAATCAGCAAGGGGAGAAGGCAGACACCCTAGAGACACTTAGGGGTGTCCCAAGCAAATGCTTCATGCTCTGATATCCATCTCAGGGCTGCGGCTCTTCCATTCATGAATCACCGTGTACAGTGCTGCTATCGGCAATAATTGCAACTTCTCTGAGAATCAGAGGACAGAATCAAGCCAAAGAACGCTGTCCCTCTAAAATTACTTTCAATGGCTACTAAGTTGGAATGTTCTATCATTTATTAGCCAATTCCTTTCACTGGATATATTTAGGATATTTTCACTCTTATAAACACTGTAATGAATATCTGTGTAGCTCCATCTCTGTATATATCTGTAATGAAACCATTGACACTTCCTCACTTACTCTTGGTTGACTACTAATAAGAAATTGCAAAGTCTCTCATTCTGTTGAAATCCTATCAATATGAGAATCTCTTTTACTAGGGGGCAGGGGGTTACCAGTGATGGAACCCAAGGGGCACTTAACCATTGAGCCACACCTCTAGCCTTTCCTTTTCATTTTTTATTTTGAGACAGGGTCTCACAAGTTGCTTAGGGTCTCACTAAGTTGCTGAGGCTGGCTTTGAACTTGCAATCCTCCTGCCTCAGCTTCCTGAGCTGCTGGGATTACGAGCATGAGCCAAGAATCTGACATAAAAAGGAAGGATAAGACTTGATTGGGAAATTTGATTACTCACCAGCATCTTTGATAAAATTATCATAAAAACGCACAGTCCTCGATGTAAGATCACTGAAGGCCATTTTCCACAAGATTTACTGGCTCTTTTAATGGATTCTTCAGAGAAAAAAAAAACCGAGTTGATAATCTATAAATGAAATAAAGATAAGCTTTTAGTAATACAATATTWAAAATGCTAAAAATTTAATAGGAAAACCTGGCAGAGCAACAAACTTCTACTGAGGGTAAATGCATTAGTGAACCATATTAAGCCCTGATGCAGTTGCAAACATTACAGATGTCCCCTTCTTCTAGGGCCACTGCTAACTTCACTGAAAAAAAGGCTGACAATCTATGTACAAAATACAAAAGAAGTAAATGATTCCCAGAACTTTTTTAGGCACAACATAGGTCAGGAGCAGAYAGCACCTATGATAGCGAAGCTGAAGTAAAAATCCAGGAGAATAAACTCAAGATGATACACAAACTTTCAGAAAAGGTACAATAATCCTAGACTTTCAGCTCATCAGCCCTAATAAGATCTTCTATGTGCAAGTTTTTATAATTTAAGTGGAATAGAGGCCGAAAGAGGGAGGAAAAGACCTTGAAGAGTCAAGAGGAAGGTGTTTCATTTATCTGGACAGGCAGACAAAGAAAACTGGAAAAAAAATCTTCAGAAAAAAGCAACTATCAGTGAGGAGAAACTAAGACTACTGTGTTGTATAATAAAGGGTATTATAAATCTTCAATAATTAAAATAGTGCAGCATTGGCACATGAAAAGACAAATTAATGGAACAGAATAGAACATTCAGAAATATACCAAATACATTTGGGGATTTAAAACTACATTCCAGTAATTCTAAGACATATGCTTTCCCACATCTCTGAAATCAGGGTACACCTTACCAATGGATGATGTGTCATAAAATTAATGGTGTGTTTTATTTAAAGCCATATGGCAGAAAGATGAAAAGTCCTACAGCAGGATGGTAGAAGTAGTTGCAAACAATGTAAATGTACTTATGGCCACCAAACTTCACATTTTACAATGGTTTAAATGATACATTTTATATTATGTATATTTGTTCTAAGAAAACTGAGACTTTATTCTAAAGAAAGAAAGTCATTTTATTTACATAAAGATAAATAAATAAGACATAGTATATGATAAAGGTGGCATCTGAAATCAATGGGCACCGAACTACTAGCAGTTACTTAATAAATGATAGGGTACAACTGGATAGCCATCTTTAAAAAGAGAGCTGAATTCAAACATTGTATTATAAGCCAAGATAAACTCTAAATAGATCAAATATTTAGCTAAGAAAACAGAACCATGAAAGCACTAGATGACAACATCTAAGAAGACATTTATAACTTTGGCATGAGAAACACCTTTCTATGACTCGAAGCTCAGAAGACAAAAGAGAAGGCTAACAAATTAACTATATGAAAATCAAGAAGAAACACAGATGGTGTCRTAAGGACAGAGCTCTGAAGAAGCGTGGAGAGTTCAAACAACAACAATAAATAAATAAATAAATATAAAACAAGGCAGCTGATGCCAGCTCCTGAGAAAGGGGCAGAGACCAGCAGCATCAAACCAGGGTAATGAGTGGTAAAGTCCTTCTCCTGTGTGTGTGTTTGTGTCTGTGTGTCTGAGGGGGAGATTACTGAAAACAGTCACTCTGGTTTTTGACTCTGGGGAACTGAAGTCAGATGGGAGTCTCAGCTCCTACTGTCATAGGGAGGGAAAACCTCTGAGATAAGAATTCCAAGATATGCTAGGGAAATTTCCACCGAGATATTAATCAGTGTGGTTCCTGTATTCTTGCTGGAACTGGTTTCTCCATCCCACCCCACCCTCTCTATTTAAACAGAAACAAAGCTTCAAAGAAGTCCTGGAGCATGCTAGACAGAAATATCTGGATGTGTGAGTATGTTCCTTTCCAATGATTTAGTAAAGTCAGAAACACTGAAATATATTAAAATGTCAGGGAGGACTACAAAGTGATAACCAGTTTAAAGCAGGATTTGTCTATCTTGACAGTATTGGCATTTGGGCCAGATAATTCTTACTTGTGGGGACTTGTCCTAAGCATTGTACAATGTTTGGAACCAACCCTAGCTTCTGTGCACAAGACAGATGCCGGGAACCCATCCTCCCCAGGAGAGACAACCAATAATGTCTCCACAAATTGTCAAAAGTCCTCTGGAGGGCAAAACTGTCCAAGGTTGTACATCACCGATTTAAAGTAATTTAGCAACATGTATTCATCCAAATAACAGTATTTGCCTTAAAGTAGTCACTTTGGCAAATGTAGACTCATTTCAGTGATGCTGTTGTTCAAAACAATTTTTGAGCTTTTCTTTATAAATTAACTTCAGAGTTTTCATCATTTTTAAAAATGGTCTTATGGGAGAAAAACCTTTGCCTACTACTTCCAAAAAGCAAATTCATAACTCCAAGTTAAGAATGGTTTTGAGGGGCTGGGATGTGTGGCTCAAGCGGTAGCGTGCTCGCCTGGCATGCGTGCRGCCGGGGTTCGATCCTCAGCACCACATACAAAGATGTTGTGTCCACCGAAAACTAAAAAATAAATATTAAAATTCTTTCTCTCTCTCTCTCTTAAAAAAAAAAAAAAAAAAGGATGGTTTTGAGGAGCTGGAGTTGTGGCTCAGTGGTAGAGTTCTTCCCTGGCCTGTATGAGGCACTGGGCTCAATCATCAGGACCATGTAAAAAAATAAACAAAGTTATTATGTTCATTTACAGTTAAAACAAAAACAAAAAAGAATGGTTTTGAGGTAAATGTATCAAGTTCAGTCACACTTTATCAGTGGGGTGAAGAAGAAGCAGGCTTAATGATAAATAATTTACTACTGACATTTTCAGCTTATGATTTATAAGATAAGACCAACTCCAACAAACAAAGCCAGAAATGTTTTGGGTTATGACAATATTAGTGAAATAAATGTATAGTTTCCTGAGGTGGCTATTTTTAAGGTACCACTCATTTAGATATATATTTATTTCAGCAAAATAATATAAACTATTTTTTCTTCCTCATCCATTGCAAATCCCCAATTAAAAGCAAGTGAATTTAGAATGTGAAACAGACCAGTGAAAATCATTTCAAATAACAAACGTTCAAATTTGTTAATAATTACTATATATGTACATGTGTGCTGTAATATTAATATATGTATATATATATATATATACACACACACACACACACATATATATAAACACATACACATATACACACTCATTACAGAAGCAAAAATGTGTGTACACCACACCTACCACAAAGGAGTTTGCATTTTGTTCTGACAGTTCATATTAACTTACATTTCTCCTTGGTAATTCCTTTATTGTCCTCCTTTCTTGCCTTTTCTCTCAATTTAACCTTGGTTATGCACTTTGCCAATAGGGGTCAGGCCTTGTTGCCAGGGTAGAGCTGGGACAGGCTGAGAGGGCCTAGGCAGGCACAGAGTTTCTTCTGCTCCAGTGTGGTGCCAGAGCAGCAGAAAGACTTCTTAGTACCCCCATTCAACATGGAAGTATTACAGAAGAGCCGTAGAGAATGAAGGAGTCACATGGGTACAAACAACATGTATCTCTTCAGACAAGTGGCCAAAGACCTGATGGGACTCTGGATATTCAAAGGATGGCAATGTAGCAGAAATAGCAAAGAACATGATAGGGGGTAGGGTGGGGGGCTAAAATGTTCCTCTTTGCAATGACCTTGATACTACATAAGCTCCTTGTAACTTGCTAAGGAATGGGGGAAGATACTCTCTACCACCCCCCAAAATAAAAGTTATGTCCTTATATCAGACAAAATAGACTTAAAGTCAAAAACTGTTGCAAGAGACAAGTCATACTGTGATGATAAATGGGACAAGTAATCAAGAGACTATAATAATTATAAATATGTATGTACCTAACATCAGAGCATCTAAGTTATTAAATATATTAAAATCAAATATTACAATATGAAGGGAGAAATAGGCTGTAATACTATTGAAATTATAAGGAAACATAGGACTTAAAGTATGCTTTAGAACAAATGGACTTAACAGACATATATAGAACATTCTATTCAACAATAGCAGAATACACATTCTATTCAAGTGCACACAGAACATTCTCCATCATACACTATATGTTGGACCACAACACAAGTCTTAAGAAATTTAAGAAGACTGCTAGATACAGTCGTGCACACCTGTAATCCCAGTTACTCAAGAGGCTAAGGCAGGAGGATCACAAGTTAGAGGTCAGCCTCCTCAATTTAGCATGATCCTAAGAAACCCATTCTTAAAATAAAAAAATAAAAAGATCTGGAGATATGGTTCAGTGGTAAAGCACTCATGAGTTCAAACCTCAGTACCAAACCCAAACACACACACACACACACACACACACACACACACACACACACACCAAAAAAGAAAAAAGAAAAGAAAAAAAAGAAAGAAACAAAGAAATTTAAGAAGACTGAAATCACAACCACAATGGTATGAATGTACAAATCAATAACAGGAGGGGAAATGGAAAATTCACAAATATGTAGAAAGTAAACAATGTGCTCCTGGACAATGAACAGGTCAAAGAAGAAACCAAAAGGAAAATTTTAAAATATCTTAAGACAAAGGATGTTGAAAACACAACTCACCAAAACATATAGAATGTAGCAGTTCTAAGAGGTAAGTTTATAGCACTAAATGCCTATATTAGAAAAGAAGAAGGAGTTCAAATTTTTAAAACCCTAACATTACACCTCAAGGAATGAGAAAAAGAAACTAGTCCAAAGCCAGCAGAAGCAGATTACAGTAGAAATAAATGAATATTAGAATGACAATAAAATAAAGTAACTAAAAACATAAGGGTTGGTTTTATGAAAGGAAAAAATTGAAAAAAAAATCTTTAACCAGAGTAAGAAAAAGACAACTCAAATAAACATGAAAAATGAAAAAGGAGCTATTACAACAGACACCAGAGACATACAAAGGGGTCAGGTCAGTACAGATTTTTTCTGTTTTCTGTATTTCTTATATAAGTCAGTAGTTCCCAAATCCAGTTGAAAATCAGAATCACTGGATTTGGA